TATTAGTCTAAACCAGATTTAAAAATCAGTTTAAAGTAGCATATTCTGACTGGTGATCAAAATTAAAAGAAAAGTAAATAGATATATACCTACATCAAAAATGTATCATTATAAACTAGTTACATACTTACAAAGCAAATGAAATGAATTGAGATAGAAAATGGAAATATAGGGGCAAACAGTTTGAGCAAGTGTGGCCTTTGGGTTACATGTTTAACACATAGAATCATCAATAGGCTTGCCTTTTTGCAAGACTAAGCAGGCAACTGCTTGGAAAAGGGTCACCTTGAGCACTTTTACCACGGCAGGGTCAAAAATGAGGCGATGAGTTTGCAGACCCAGAAACCTAAAGGCAAGCACCATGGAGGAGAAGAAATAGGGAACAAAAGGATTGACATCACCAGAGAGAAACTCCCCCATTTGATGATATGAATCAAACAGCTTTCGCCTTACTTATTGAAGGGAAGGTCTGGTAGAGAGGGAGTACTTTAATGTAATCAATTAAGAGAACCTTCTCAGAGATGTTTTAGATCCCATAATTTCAAATTATGACACTATACTAAGTCCTTTTGATCCAACCCCAAAATGTGTCTCTTTTTTCCCAGAGCACAACTGCTTTCAGACTTCCAGTCGAGCCAACATTATTAACTCAACCCAGTCATGTTGAGATAGACCAGATATGCTGTGATAGACCAGTACATATAATGATTTATGCAAATACTTATATAAAGAACACAATTAAGTACTTCATACTTATCACTTCCTTTAATTGCACTTTTTAGTAACTCCATGGTGCCAGTTTGTGTTGTTGTTGTGTGTGTGTGTGTGTGTGTGTGTGTGTGTGTGTGTGTGTGTTTCATGTACAAGGATTTCTTGGTTCTTTTAGCAGGATACACCTGTCTAGAGAAACCGGCTCATTTGTCATAATTAATCTCCATCAAAAAGCCTGTTGGAAAGTCAAACAGGAAAGGGGATTATATTTTATGAACACACAAAGCCGATATAAAGACATAAAACAGACCAGCTCTCAGGCACCAGTGAGCCACCTTCAAAACCTTAAAGGAGAAAACATATTTAATATTAAAATACTCCAACCAAACAATATGCACCTTCTGTCTACATCCCCAGATAATTAGATCGGAAAGATCTAAATACATTGCTACTTTTGTTGTAAGATTCTGCTGTGACATATACAGCAAGATCTGCATTATCTAAGAAAAGAAATCAGAAAGTGTTGAGCTTCTCTGTGAGTCCTTGTTGACAGTTAAGTTTTCTAAGTCATGTGTGTCCATGAGGATAACATGGGGCAGAGTATGGGGGGCGGGGCTGGGGTAGAGGGACCTCCCTGATGCTCCAGGTGCTGCCCTGGATGCATTTGCTGTCACTCATCCCACAGGTGTGGAGCAAGAACTCAGTGAGGGGGTGTGGCTGAGAGAGCCAGGGGACCCTGAAAAAGCTGGTGCTGTTCACAAAGCCTGCTGACTCTCTTTGCTTCCCAGACAGTACTGTAGCTTTCTTATGAAAAATTATCTGTCTTAAAAGGTTTCTCATGTGCCTCACTCATAACTACTTATAACCCTGGAAATGTGGTGACATTGGACATTAGATGAGCTTGGTTGGATATGTGATAAAAATAAAATTTGCTTTCCTTACACTAATACTATAAAACAGCTACTATAAATAGTGTTTTACATTAATAATACACTACATTTAAAAAGCATATAATAACCCTGGCCAACGTGGCTCAGATGGTTGGAGTGTCATCCCATACACTGAAAGGTGGTGGGTTTGATTCTCAGTCAGGACACATACCCAGGTTGTGGGTTCAAACCCAGGCCAGGAGTGTGTGTGGTGGCGGGAGGAGAAGAAGCAACTGATGGATGTTTCTCTCCTCTTCTCTCTCTCTCTCTCTCTCTCTCTACCTCTCCCCCACAAAAAATCAATAAAAATTAAACAAAAAAAACAGATTGTAAGATATATTTATAGTTGAATGCTTAAAATATTCATGCACAGACAAGGGACAGAAAATATGGGGCATATACCAAACTATTTACTCTAGAAAAAGGGATTATGCACACTCTATTCTGTGACCCAAAAGCTCAGAGATTTGTCCCATGGCCATTTAACTAGTTAGTGACAGGGCAAGGACAAGAAGCCACGGCTACTAACCCCTAACTCTGTGGTCGGCAAACTCATTAGTCAACAGAGCCAAATATCAACAGTACAATGATTGAAATTTCTTTTGAGAGCCAAATTTTTCAAACTTATAC